GCGCGCCGGCTGGCGCAGATGAGATTGACGGAGCGAGGGGGGGAGGCAGACAAGAGGAGTTGTGTCGAATGGAGTTGGAGACTGCTTGAGATAGCACTGCCTCTTTGCTTCTTGCACTGCTTCGACGACTGTGTGGCCGACCGCCTTCAGGTGTGTGATCACAGGTGGCGAAGTGAGGCAGGGAGTGAGAAGAGAGGACAGAAGGCGGATAGGAACAGAGAACGTGAAGGCTGCGAGAAGCACTGGTAGAACCGGAAACAAGTGGGTACAATAAGTTTGGGATAAGGAGGGGGGATGAGGGGGGATGAGGGTAGGCAGGTGAGCGTCGACAATAAGGCAATTCCCTCCCCAACCTCCCTTTTCCCTACTTCCCCATTTCCATTATTGCCCTCCCATCACGTCACCCCCCCCTTCGCCTTTCCCTCATCCCGCCCTTACTCCCCCTCACCCGGCTGTGGGCTGTGAAGTACGAAATGGGCTCGTTGGATCTAGGAGGACCAGATGCAGTGCTCCTCTTGCTTTCATCTTCTCTGCTGCCGTCCTCCCTGCTGCCTTCCTCCCTGCCGTCCTGCTGCTGCTGATTGAGAGTACATTGGGCTCCCGGCATGAGCAGGTAGTAGTACATGTCCTGGGCCTGGCGGGATGGAGAGAGGCGAGCGGGATGGGGAGAGGGAAGAGACGAGCGGGATGGGGAGAGGGAAGAGACGAGCGGGATGGAGCAAGTGGTGGTTTAGTTCTGAGCTCCTAGCTCCAGGCATGAGCAGGTAGTAGTACATGTCTTGGGCCTGGCGGGATGGGGGGAGGTGAGCGGGATGGGGAGAGGGATAGGAAGAGCAGGATGGGGAGAGGGATGAGAAAAGCGGGAAGGGGAGAGGGATGAGAAAAGCGGAAAGGGGAGAGGGATGAGAAAAGCGGGAAGGGGAGAGGGATGAGAAAAGCGGGAAGGGGAGAGGCGAGCAGGATGGGGAGGAGGAAGGGAAGAGCGGGATGAAGCAAGAGGGGGATTACTTTATGAGGTTTTAGGTGTGGAGGAAATGAAAACCGAAACGGAGAAAATATTGAACTTAAAGGAAACGGAGGAGAGTAAGTGGCACGTGATGGTGCATGTCCTGGGTCTTGTGGGATGGAGAGGGGTAAAAAAAAAAGGATGGTGGGAATGGGGCAAAGAGTTAAGCTCCTATGCTCCGAGCATAATCGTGCAGTGGTATGGCAGGCCTGCACAGGCATGGCAGCAGCACTGACCAGGCATGGCAGCAGCACTGACCAGGCATCGCAGCAGCACTGACCAGGCATCGCAGCAGCAGGTCTGGGGATAGGAGAACTCCCATCCGATGTGAGAGCTCCTGGCAGGACGGACAGCAGCAACACCAAGAGCGACAGCAAGGGAGGGAGGGGCAACGAGAGGAAGATGAGGAGATGGAGGGAACGCGACAGCACCACAAGGAAAAGGGCAGAAACGACGGATAAGTGGGAACCAGGTGAGCATGATGAAGGGGGGTGGGGAGGGAGGACGCTGACAGACTCTGGGAAAACAACAGGTCCGGAAAGGAGGGTGTGAGGAGCCCCCTAATTCCAGGATACGCAAGTGCCATCAGTACCGTAATTCTCTCGCACTACCGGTTAATTTGTGACGCCTCAAAAACTCATCCCCTGCTATGTACTTTCACCTTTCCCCCACCGATTCCCCACCGTTTCCCCACCTTTTCCCCACCTTTTCCCCACGTTTCCCCCTCCTTTCCCCCACCATTTCCCCCACCTTTCCCCCACCTTTTCCCCACGGTTCCCCCTCCTTTCCCCACCCATTTCCCCCACCTTAACCCCCACCTTCCTCCACACCCTCCCCACCCCCACCTCCCCTCTCCCCAACCCTCCCACGCACCTCTATTCTCTGCCAGCGGCCGGGAGGCAAGGGCAGTCTCTCGGAAATGCCGTCGGGGAGGGACCACCACACGTCAGGGCTGTTGCTGCTGACGTGGAACAGCGAATTCGTGACATCACCGGTCGACATCTGATGAAACGCTTTAGAGTGTACGAGTCTGCTGCTGCTCTTCTGGTTTTGCCCTATCGCCGCTTTCTCGCTCCCATACACACACTTCGATACTAGGTCACATGTGGGGTTGAACATGTGGTGGACTGGAAATATTGGCGTTGTGCCACGTGTCATAAGCTCAGCGTCTACGCCTGAGCGTGCACTTCTCAAGTATCCTTGGCTGGAACGCGGCTGACCAGGCATCATCCGTAGACACTTCAGCACGTGACGTTGTCGCGTCACGCTGCCGTCAGGCATCACTGCTGCAGGTGCTGCTGTCAACAGAAGGCTCCTGGATCCTTCATTCCAAGCTCGTCCGGCGGTCCACACTCTATTTACAACGCATTCGAATGACAGGCCACGAGGTGCGGCCTTACAACGAATCATTCCGCGCTGATTATAGCGCATCTACCTGGTTTTTGAAAGTGAAAAGACGCCGTCTATCTGGGCAAGAACAGCGAAACCGCTTTCGGCAAGGCCAGACGAAAGCACACGCTATCCTTGGCTAGAACGCGATGCGTGTACCGGAATGCGGATGCGGATTTCGGGAAGAACACGCGGATTACGGCGCACTCACTGTGCTAACGGAGCAGTTACTAAGGAGCAATAAATCAGGGTACTGTGGTCATTCACGCGACATGGATAGGCCGTGACGGATCACGACATAAAGATAAAGAGATTGGGCCAACGACGCACTTCACGCGAAAGGTCTTCATAGATAAGCGGCCTCATACGGACGGAACTCATACTTCTGACGAAGCGCGTCGAGGATCTCAGGCTGTGTGAAAGTTTCAAGGTAGTGTTGCTGCATGTTCCTGAAGTTAATCAGACGTCTCGCTAAGAAGTGCTTCCAACTGGACTTTCAGCCACATATTCATAGAAGGAGATTACAAAAAAACAATCACATAACACAGAGAAGGAAGAAGAAACATGTATCATATTCTTGCAATCTGTGAAATGGAAGAAACAAGCTTCCATGCTAATCACCCACATGCCGTTTTATCATTTGTTTTCTCAAGTAGGAAACGCACAACAAATGATGGCCGAAATGCTTGGTATGATGACATACCATTTGTAGCCTGAATTGTTACAAAGATTTCGTGATGGTGACATGTCGCCTATGTTCGGGTTTCCTCGTCAACCCTGGAAAACCTGAAGCGTCTTGCGCAAGTTCCCTGCCAGCAATGACCACGACCACCCTCCCCCCCACAGGCCCAGCATCATCGCATCGCACCGACCAACACTGTTGGGCTGCTTGTGCTGCTGATTGGCGGCGGTTCTATTGATCGCTACAGAGCCGCACAGCGTGCCAGAGAAATCTGCTGTGCTTGTCTCGTGAATGGTGAATGAATGTGACAGGCATGCACAACAGGCTTCTATCACAAGCTCACTCTTCGCGTCTGCCTCGTTTGCTACGCCTGCTGCGGCTTCACAAGGCTCACTCTGATGCTCCCGAGTCCTGACGCAAGACAGCCACCTCGTTGCCTACCTCCTCGCTCCAGTCATGTATCACGTCGCGACACGCAAAGACGAAACAGAACGCGCAACTGCGTGCCTTGCGCCTTCATTCCTCCGCCCTCCTCCTTGCCTTGCCACCTTTCCCGCCGCTTGCTTCCACTGAAAGAGTGAAACATGCCTGCTTTCCTCCTCTCCAGTCAGGAGGAAGGACCTCTCCGCTCCGCCTCAGCCAGGGCGCATTGCATGGGCGGAGAAAATTGCGGCTGGCGAACAATCGCGCATCCATCCATTGCGCATTCCAGCGCCGCAACTGACGTCGCCAGTCATTCCTTGGACAGGCAACGCTGGGGAGGTTAGTTCTGGAAGGCCCATCTGTTGGGTCACGCACGCTCACGCTCACTCGCGTATGCACTGCTGTGTTTCTGTAAACAGCTTTACCGAAGTGAGCCAGGATGTACCGTGCTGTACCTGCGTCTCTTCTTCCAACCACTGCTCCGGGGCGACGCGGCGGAGTGGCCCCCACTCACACATGTCGGGCCGGTCGAGTCGAGTCAGCCGGAATACCTGGTGATCCAAGTGACCGAAGATTTCGCCTGACAAGGAGCGGATTCGCATTCCCTCCGCCACAAACTAGTTCCCCACTAGAAATGGCGTCTCTCTCTCTCTCCGGGCTCGCTTTCAAGATGCGACCATTTCTTTACCCTTTTCATTTCTGATCAATTTTATCGTCACCTGGTCCCGTTTGATGTATTTTATGGTAGCTCAAAGAACCATTCTATTATTATCGCCTAGCCCGATGTGGTTCTCCCGGCCGGATAGCCCGGAAGCAAGCTCCTTAGACATGGAATAAATACCCTGACTGCGCTCGAACCGCTGCGTAGGACAACGTTCCACCAACCGTGTGATTCCATTCCTTCTCGCAGGGTGTTACCGAAAGGTATCTCAATTTTCGTACGCTCCTGCTAGTCCTTCCTGTCGCCGTTCCGTGTTTGACGCTTTTTCGGGATCGCTTCGGTCCTAAAGGAGCGCCTGCTGCGGTTGGCGTTACGGCCTTGAATCCGGACGATGGATTTCCCCGCTGCAGACCGCTTCGACATAATCACATCATCGCTGGTCGGCGATTGGTTCCTGACTAAGAATCCGGCTCGTTGCGCGATGACCGCGACTGGACGTGACGCCGCTGTTTCTGCCGCCAACTTATCTGCTTCAATTCAGAGACTATAGATTTCACTGCGTCCGTCCTTTCAAACGGGAACAGTTACTGCAAGCTGATTGGTTAACATTCGGAAGTCGGATTACGTCTCAACCAGAACCGAGTGTCAATTGCTGACATGGCGGCAGCGAATTCGTTGCCGGATTCGCCTCGATCGTCAGATGTCTCACCTCGCGCGAAGAGCAGCCCGCGGCAGCTGCAGCGGCTTTCAATCACGCCAGCTCATTTCAGCCCGGAGGCGCGGGTTCAATTCTCGGCGCGGTTGAAGAAACTTGCAGAAGATGTGGATGTGACTGTGGGCTCTGTGGGTGGGCCAATCGGAAAACACTATAGCCCAAGCCACAGCAGCGTAGAACCTTCTCCAAGAGGCTGTGTGATTATACTGAAGGGGACGTCACAGGAGGAGCAGGGCAGTGACACGGATGCAAGGAATGATTACAGCAGTCATCATATCCTTGCAATCAAGGCACCTTCCGCGGAAGAGAAGGACGATTGCAAGATCAAAGCGCAATGTGACTGTATCGAAAGGCAGAGCTCGGGGTGTCTCAGCCTGAGCAACATGGCCTTGCTGAGGTTCACCCTCGCCCCTTCCTCTGCCGCCACCCCCTGTACTGTAACTCCTGCCAGCGTCACAGCAACCACTCTCACTCCTGCTGGTGCCCCTGATGCTTCACCCCTGGGTGTCACCATTTCTGGAGCCACTGCCCTCTCCCAGTCCTCCCTTGCTGCTCCCACTGCACATGTAACTACCTGTGCCTTCATGCTAGCAGGCTCAGACTCGGACTCTATTGGTGACTTCATCCCCACACCTGCTGTGGAGCTGTGCAGTGCAGAGAGCGCAGGGAGAAAGGAGGGCACCTTTCTTCCTCCTCCTCCCGCTTCCCCTACTCATTCTCCTGCCTCTCCCTTGTCGCTGCCGTCGCCTGCGTCTCCCTCCTCCCGTTCCTCCCTCCACCGAGCACCACTCCTAAGGATACCCGCCCTCAGCCTGCTCACCGCACTTGCTGCTGTGAAATCCACTCCTACTGCTTCTTCTTCAGCTGCTTCTGCTGCCGCTCCCGTTCCTGCTGCCGGCTGTAACCCCCTCTTGGCCACTGCATCTGCCTCTGCCCCTGCCACTCTGTGTGATGCAACGAAAGTGCTCTCAGCTGGGATGAAGACCACACAAGTGCTGATGGTCCCTGAGGATGACGGCTTTGTCTGGCGCAAGTACGGGCAGAAGCTCATCCGAGCCTGCTCACGGCCCAGGCTGTACTTTCGCTGCAGACAGCCCGGCTGCCCGGCGAGGAAAACTGAGGATCGGGCAGCAGATGGGAAGGTTCTTGGGAGGAAATATTTGGGTTTACATAATCATAAACCTCCTACTCCTCCTCCTCCTCCTCCTCCTCCTCCTCCTCCTCCTCCTCCTCCTCCTCCTCCTCCTCCTCCTCCTCCTCCTCCTCCTCCTCCTCGTCCTGCTACTGCAGCTACTGGTGCTGCGCAGGATGAGCAGGGAGATGCCCCGCGGGAGAAGTGGGGGATGATGTTGAACGGCCAGCAGGAGCGCATGCTGGTGGAAGGGGAGCAGAAGCAGCATGAGGGGGAGGTGGAGAACTGGCTGCAGCAGCAGGGCGAGCAGGAGCGCGAGAAGGAGCAGGAACAGGAGCAGGAGCAGCAGTCATCGGAAATGTTTGGAATGAACTGCGAGGTAGAAGGTCTCTTTGATCTCTCCCTTTCTGATGCCTTCCTTACTGACGGTTCCACTCACTTCGATTGCAGCAACCACACCAGCAGCAGCAACAAAATCTGGCTCCCTACCGAGCAATCCAGGGGAGGTGTTTCGGAGGGAAGTTTATCTGAGGAAGGATTCTCGCTGACGGTGTCTGATGAAGCGAGTTGGGGGGTAGCTAGTGGTGACTATAACGAAGGGCTGTTGAGTAGCCCCAGCTGTTCGCTTGCTATGATTGAGTCGCTGCTGATGAGCGATGCTGAGGCCAGCAATAACGAGTATGGATGGATTGGGGAGTGCCAGGAACTCAGTCAGGGTGCTGAGAAGGTGGTAATAACTGAGGACAAACACAATTGTGACTTCATTGGAGGAGTTGCTGCAAGCACTGTGACAGTAACGAATGGGGCATTGGCTGTGGGCATGGATGCGTCTCTTAAGTCACCGCAACCACGCCCACACCCAACGCACTGTTCAGCTGCTCACTGTTCATCACCTGTCTGCTGCCCAGCAAGTCCAGATGGCAGCAGCGGGTTGGTCCATGGCAAGGCTGAGCATAAGAGGAAGGGGTCACCGTGTGGAGGAGCGATTGGAGGAGGAGGAGATTGGGCATTGGATGCATGGGCGTGCTGCAAGCATGAGGCGCCAACATCAATCAAGCAGCAGTACGTGATCCTCTGCTCATATACTCTGTGCTCTTGCTTTCTCCTTTCTGTGCCAGACAAGGCTGACTTGCACATGAAGCATCTGTGGCGTACTTGCTTCCTCAGCTATTTCACTTTCCATGTTTCCCCCCTGTCTTCCCTTCCATCCCCTTCCTAACAGCCGCACAGCTTCTGGCCCAACCAGCCCTACTCAAAGGACAGCTACCAATTCAGGCAGGGCAGCAGCTTTTTCTCCTCGTGTCACTTCAGTCGGCTCTCCTGGTGTTTCTTCAGGTGCCGCAGCAGGCTGTGCGTCAGGTGTGCGCATGGTGTGCGCGCAGCAGGTGATGGAGGAGCCGAGGGTGGTGGTGGCGGTGCGCAGCGAGGCTGACATGGTGGATGATGGTTACCACTGGCGCAAATACGGACACAAGCTGGTCGGCGGTAACACCTTCCCCAGGTACAGCCTCCCCGGTCCTTTCCCCACGTATATCCTGGCCCTATCCTCCCCAAATTCAATGCTGTCTCCTCCCCTTGTGCCTCTCACACTCTGTGTGCCCTGGCATTCTTGCAGAATTTAATCCGACCAACTCATTGCTGTGTGCTACTTGTTGTTGCTGCTATGTGCTTGTGCTTGTATTGCAGGAGCTACTATCGGTGCACGAGTGGGGACTGCCGAGTGCGCAAGCAGGTGGAGCGCTCCAAGCAGGACCCATCTGTGGTGGTAACCACCTATGAGGGCCGGCATAACCACTCTGCACCTGGACCAATCCTGTGCCTTCCCCAGTCACTGTAGCTGGTGCTACACTGTCTTTTCAACCATCTGTCCCAACCTTACCCTTGTCGGTTTGTTGTGTGGGGAAGTGGGGGGTTGTTACCTTTTTTCTTGCTTTATTTCTCTACTATGTAGTAGGTTGTTCCAAGTGCCAACGCAAGCCTGCAAGACCATAGGTTGTGGTGTTCAGGGCTTGCCATGGCAGTTGGAACAACAGTGATTTAGCATGGGAAGTCGGTTAAAGGATCCTTGTTACCAGCCAAGAACCGAGCCCAGAACATGGACTGAAAATAAGAGTGTCGAGGTTGGATGTTCTGGTTTCGCTTTTTGGTTCTTATTAATAACATGGCTTATTATCCTGCCTTGCCTACATGATCATGTACTGTAAGAAGACATTCTAAGTGAATACGGAGCAGGGCTGACGTTTCATTTTAAGCCTCCCTGATTCCGGGGAAAATTTTCCCCCTCTATTACGGTATGGGTGCACATTTTCCAGAAAAGCAGTAGCCTGATTGCTCAGGGTTGTAAAGTAGTTAACACTGATTGTTCAGGGTCGAGAACTGAACATCAGAGTAGTAACGCGCGCTTTGTTACTGGGGAAAATATCCCCACTCTCCATAAAGTCTGCGCGTTGTGTTTCCTGCTGGCTGTACACTCGACTGATTTGTGCGGGGCAGGTGTGATTGACCTACCGTATTACCCCGGATATAAGCGCACCTGCGCTTATAATAAAGCAGTGTTTTTTTGGGGGGTGCGCTTATAATTGAGTAAAAATTATAAGCGCATGCGCTTATAATATAACAAATACAAATATATATTTCAATGCACCAAATTGTACATCTCATCCTTCAGATTTCAATCGAATCGAAATTGTAGAAAGTCACATGTCAAAATCGCGCGCGGGCGATTCTTCGCGAGCGCCCAGAGGCAAAATACAGTGTAACACCTCACTTTGAGGGCGTGCCAGCTCGTGCTGACTGGACGCGCAGGATGTGAGAGGTCTTCGAAAGTCAATGTAAGCGAAAATGGGTTGTGGCCTCGCTGCAAAACTGAGATTCGTTACCGTTTTAATGAAGAATTATAAATAAAATTACACATGCGCTTATAATATATCAGGGTTTTATAAGGGGTGCGCTTATAATTGAGGATCGGCCATAAGCGCATTGCTCCAGATACAAGCGCATGCGCTTTTAATAGGCCTGCGCTTATATCCGGGGCCATACGGTATCTGGTGTGCGAGTGTAACGTTTCCCTGTCTTATTACCATGCCCAATTGGATCTCTTCAGCTGGCATGCATCAGACACGCTGCGACTGTAGTTAGTCACCCTCAGAGGCGTTCCTTCTGGAGCGAGTGTACCGATCGAACGGGCGAGTCACACCTGTTCGAGTCACAGATTTCCGCTGTCAGAGCCTATTTCGACCAATCCCAGCAAAGTATATCTGACATTGCAGATTCACGCGATCTCAATGGTAGGTGTATCAGAACGAAGTTTCGAAGAAACCTCGTCTCGATAAAGCGGGAAGGGGGGGGATTACGCACATGTGGGGGGATCACTGCGATCAATCCAAGGCGGGTCATCGGAAGGAAACTTCCGAGAAACTTCCTCTCGATAAGTCAGGGTCCACACAGTCGATACTCTGTTAAGTCAGGGTCCACTAACAGCCTAGTCTGTTACACTATACTCAAAATCAGGCATAGCTAAACTATTACTCTGATTGGATCAGGGCTGGAAATTCAATAACTCTGAAATTTCAGTCTCCACGAAGTGGAAAGCCTGAAATCACCCTGAAATCAGGGTAATTACCCTGATAAAATCAGCCCTGATACGGAGCAGGCAATATAAATGAAAAGAGATAGGAGTAATAAGGATCAATGACATCACATGGTCACCCCAGCATTTTCTTTTCGGCAGATGACGCAAGTGCACCTGGTGAAACACCCAGCATTTGCCTGTTCCGGGCTGGAGGGGTCAAAAGTTGTCAGTTTCTTTTATTTCCTCGTCTGGCTGGAATTTCGCTCTACGGCCGTTCTGGATTAGGCAGAGCTAGTATCCCTCCACATCCACGTAGTTAGCTCAATTGCAACGAGGAGTATAGACTTTCGTCTCATAGCCTCTTCGAACTCGTTTAGACCAAGATGTTGGATCGAACCAGGGTCCAACGAGAGCTCGTCGAAATTCGACGGGATCATGAGTCGGGGGTGACTGTTGATGTTCCAGGAGATGATCTCGCTCGAATGAGCGGGACTATAATGGGGCCTGTCGGAACGCCTTATGAAGGAGGAACGTTTCTGGTGGATATAGTACTTACAGGTACGGTGCAATTCGGTCGTACGACGATTCGCGAGGCCTTTGTCTACCCATTCACGTACCCAGGATTCTGACTCAACCACTTGGCTCTGTTCAGACTCGTACCCGTTCAAGCCTCCAAAGATGACCTTCATTACCAAGGTCTGGTGCGTACCAAACCAAATATTTTCATCAGTATCTCTTCATGCAGCAGTGGAAACTGACGGCATGACAGATGCTTCGTTTGGCAGGCACCCTAACGTCAGCAGCCAAAACGGTGCAATTTGTCTGGATATTCTGAAAGACCAGTGGACTCCTGCCTTGACGCTCAAAACGGCTCTTCTGTCACTTCAAGCGCTGTTATCATCACCTGAACCTGATGACCCTCAAGACGCAATCGTCGCGCAACAGGTATTGGTGCCTTTCTTCCTCAGAAGGGGAGGAGGTGGAACAGAAAAGGGTGAAAGAGGGTGGGGGGGAGGGGGTATTATCACTACTAACTTGTATGTGCAGCTGTGATTGGATGGTATCTGACGGAGATTTCTTTCCTCTCTCTGCAGTATTTGAAGGATTATCAGACGTTTGTCAGCACTGCACGGTACTGGACAGAGGCGTTTGCCAAAAGACCATCCTTGGCACTTGATGACAAGGTCAGTAGTTTTCTGGGTTGCCTCCCATTATGCCGGAGTTATTGTCTGCATTACGTATTAGAATAAGGAAGATGATAGGGAGCTCAACTGTTCCTGTAATCGTTCATGCAATGGTTTTTCTTGCAGGTGAAGAAGCTGGTGGAGATGGGCTTTCCAGAGGCCGCTGCTAGGTCAGCTTTGGAGAAATGCGGAGGAGATGAGAATGCAGCTTTGGAGAAGCTATGCAGCTGAATTCTTAAACAGAAAAATAATACCAGCTCTAGGTACAAACAAACCCAGTTTCACAGTAAGAATGTATGGTGCATTGGAAATAGTTTTGGACTCACAGCATCATCGCCTGAACTGCCCCTTCCTGATCTCAATGCACCGCAACCAACACTCTTCAAAACCCAAGGTTTCTTCCAACTTTCGTGCTCTTCACGCGTCCCAAGACACCAGCCTTCTCCGAATTCCATTCAACTACAACGGTTCTTCGTCTGAGGCAGGTGTTTCGTGCTCTTCGCTAGTCTTTCAGAACCTCGTCTGCGCACAGGTGAACCTCCGCTCATGTACATTCACGGTCTTTCGCGAATCGCCTTTATCAGGCACGCGAGGCGAGTTCTGCGCGCCGATTGCTGCTTAGTACAGCGAGGCGTCGATACTTCTGCGTCAGCTGCACTGGTCCCACTTACGCGTACGCAGCACCACTTCCTTACAGATCGTGCCTCTTCCACCGCTGTTCCCGTTGGCGCTAGTGGCACTGCTTCGCGAAGCAGCTACGAAGAATCAGAGGGGGTCAGAGGTCAGTCCATTGACGGACATGGTAGTCTTCGAGACAGAAATGCCACACGGCCGTTGTCAAGCCCACGCGACCAGAAAGCGACATCATCGTCGGTTGCATCTCACATAGATCCATCCTCGTTTGAGGTCGATTGGAGCGCGATCTCGCTAAGAGGCCTCCACCACACCTTCGTCAATCTGTTGGCAGATTTCATCCTGCCGGAACCTCCCCCGAATTCATCCAGCTCCAGCTCCGATGCTCGTCGGCGTTCCCGTCGTCGAAGCCACGTCCCCAGTCTGTTCGACGAGATCCGGAACCAATGGCGGCGCGCCAGCTGGCATGTGGACGAGCTGTACGGACAGAGGCCATCGGATGTTGGTTCGGTTGGTGGCAGTCGAGGGTCTGTTGAAGTTCAAGGCAGGTGGGACGGGAGGGGTGTGGGCATGAACCGGTTCCTAATTCGCGGGATCATCTATGACATGTCCGCCTTGATGGTGTTCGATCAAGACCTTGGTGTGCAAAGACGCGTGGGAAACACCGCATCCAACGGTGGAGATGTTATGTCAGGCAAAGATGCGAGGCAAGGGTTGTCTGATTTTGAACAAGAGAAGCTCGAACGAGCCGAGTTGGCAGCACGTGATTGGGAGAAATTTCTTCTGAGCAGCCCCAGGAGACGACGGCACATTCCTGGAGTGAATGACGGCACTGCCTCTGCCACTAGCAGCGGTGCTCATTCGGCTACAGGTGCCTCTGGTGCTGCTGCTGGTCGGACAGCTCCAGCAGGCATGCCATCCTCGTCAGCTGTCACTCAGGGAATTTCATTGGAGGAGATGGCGGAAAGCATGGGGCTTCCCACATCTGCTCGAACGAGCCTAAAGCGCAGTACCAGTGGCAGCACCAGCTCGAGCACCATGGACAGCATCAGCAGCATCAGCGCCAGCATCATCGGCAGCAGCAGCAGCAGCAGCAGCAACAGTAGCAGCTCAAGCAGCCCCCAGCCAGAAACTCCCGCTCCTCTGGGCGGCGCTCCTCTGCAGTTTAGAGGAGGCACAAACCCCAGAAGCAGCGGCAGGGGAAGCACCGCAGACCAGCGGCTGGAGGAGCTGTTGGCGGGGGGGACAGGCGGGGGGGTGCGTGCCAAGTATGCTGCACGTCTGCAGGAGAAGAAAATGCTTGCTGAGGCTCGCAGGGAGCAGCAGGGCGGCGGGTTCGGCCGGGCGGCTGCTGCTGTCGCCTCTGCTACCGCTGCTGCCAGCACTGCTGCTGCTGCTGCTCGTGCGGCGAGGTTGAGAGTGGAGAAGGGAGGTGGAGATGGGGGGCTTGTGGGGGGAACAGGAGAAGGGGCGTTGCCTGGGATTGGCAGGGTTGAAAGGGGGAGAGGATGGGTGGTGGCTCCTGGGTCTGCAAGACTGCTCCGGCACTTCCAGGTGAGGTTTGGGGGGGTTGTGAAACGCGGTGGCGCGTGTGGTGATGTAGGTGCTGCAGGAGGAGCCTGAGATGGTACATGGGGGACATGGACTTAACCGGGGTGCTTGCTGGCGTATGCCCTATCCTTAAAACTGTTGCCTGGTTTGTGAGCCTTGTATAGAAATAATATTTCCATTCGCATGTGCTTCCTTCCCTGCCACTGTCTCCCCGATGGCTACAGTCCCGCACGCTGAAGCAGGCCCTGGTAACCACGCACTCGCGCCTGGACGTGCTGCTTCTCACTGACCAGCTTGGCAATTTCTCCTTTGACTCTCAAATCAACGTCACTACCGGCGCTGCTGCTTCACCTTCTGCCTCTGGTGGCCCCTCTCACGCTCCTCTTACATTATCACCCCCTCCATCTGAGTCCCGTCCGCCCTCCGATACATCGCAAACAGCTGCTGCAGACTTATATGGCGAATCAGCGTCAGCCCCATCAGCAGCAGTGCCGTCACAAACAGCTGCGCCATCATGTGGAGTGACAGCAGAACCAGGAGGCACACTACTAAACGAGGCACAAACATCACCCGCAGCAGCAGTCTCAGGCATCGACTCTCTGGAAGCTGCCAGAAAGAGGTATTGTAATGCTGTAAATTTCTGAAGATTCTTGGTTCAGTCTTCATCTTCTTCTTTCAACACTGAGTTGGGCAACGTCTCACAGACCCCCTTGTGGTTGGAATCCAATTATGAGTGCAGGGTGGATGAGTTTGTTGAGACCTGCAAGAAGTGGAATCTGAAGCCATCACAAATCCTTGTGGTGAGTGTTGACAGTCTGAGCACATAAGCCCTTCCTTATTGCAGCCACTATCCTCACCTCCATGCCATCATTTCTCCTGCTATGTCCCTCCACTTGCCTTTTAATTTTGTACTCTGACATTTTGCCACATTTCCCCCCAGGTGCTTGGTTCTGGACCCACTTCCTCCTTCCTCGCGCAAGCCCTGCAAGACAGTCCTTTCTTCATTTGTCAGATGACTGCAAATTCCTTCACTGCCAATGCCGTACCTCCTCCTCTGGTCCAGGCCCATTCCATCCTTGGATCTCCCTCACAAGGTGACTGTTGATGCCAGGGATGCTGAAAAGCAACGTAAGACCGCCACTGTTGGACATAGCGCTGGCAATGGCTCCATGGAGTCCCCAAGTGTATCATCTCAGGGCACAGGTGGATGGGCCGCATGGTGGAAGCAGCTGTCTGAGGGGACATTGCACAGGGATGGAATGCGAGACGGTGATGTGCAAGTGGATGGGGATCGGAAACAGGTTGCTGACTGGCTGCAGGCTAGTGCTAGGTTCAAGGCAGCAGACATGGTAGAGCTGAAGGGAGTGGTGGAGGAGCTGAATGGAGTGTCGTTTAGAAGCAGCACGTTCGTGCATGCGCAAGGGAGAATTTAGAACCTGGTTCGACTAAGTGTCTTCTTGCATGGTTCATATCTGTTCATGAAACATGCTGGAGAGTTAGCATTCTAGCATGAAAATATTGTGAAAGCAAGTTACGAGAATGAGTAGATTAGGGGAAAGGGGGGGGTACAAGTGAAATGTCGAGAAGATTTCTGTACCCCCTAAAGCTAGCCCCCATACAGCCTAGATGCAACTAAGCCTAGATACAACTAAACATATATGTTTGACAGACCCCCATAGGCGAAGTGGGGGATAGCAAGAGCAAGCAATGGTCACAAGACCAGTCAAGAGAAGAAGCAAAGCAAAACAAACTCAGGGTGGATCACAAAGTCAGCACACAGTCCGAGCACAAGCAAAGGGCCAGTTCACATGCAGAGTTATATATAGATCACAGTACACGTAGAGTCAGGCAGTAAGCAAGTGAGGTAAAGTAGGCACAAGGCCTAACACAGTAACAAAGCGCTGATGATCACCAGGCGGAAGTGCCTTGGTGAAGACATCAGCAGTGTTGGCCCGAGTGGCCACGTACGCAAGACGAAGCTGACCACGCTGCTGCAACTCACGAGCAAGGAAGTATCGCAGAGCGATGTGCTTCGTTCGGTGCTCCAGTCTGTGCTCCTGACACAAGGCAATCATGGCCTTGTTGTCTACGTACAGAACTGGTGGCGAACGAGGCTGCTCTCCCAAGTCGGTCAGCAGGCAGGTGAGCCAGCGTAGCTCCTGAGCAGCCATGGCCCCGGCGTAGATCTCAGCCTCACAACTGGAGCTGAGAACCGAAGACGAGCGGGTAGACGCGAACGAGGAGTGCGACGAGCAGTGCGAACAGGCGAGACAGGACGAGACGCATGCTCACGACGCTCTGTAAGGCCTCCGGACTGCTCAGTGTAAGGAGAGGGAACAAGCAGTGGGGAGGCTGGCTGTAACGGCGGCTGCGACTGGTCAGGCGGTGGACACAGGAAGGGAGGAGGAAGACCAGGAGAAGACGGGACACCAAGAACCTGCTGAAGCAGGGGAACGAAGTACGGGTGCGGCCTCACAGTGCCTCCAGCACCTCCAGCTCCAGGGTCAACAGCTCCAGCTCCTGCAGCTCCAGCGCCTCCTGCGCCAGGGCCTCCAACTCCAGCTACACCAGCTCCAGCACCTCCGGCGCTAGCTGCTCCAGGCTCCGTAGGGTCTCCAGCTCCAGTAGTAACAGCAACACCTCTAGCTCCAATGTCTCCAGGCTCGCCAGCTTCGGGAGCTCCACCCCGACGCTGTGCTCGCTGAACAAGCCACTCACGCAGCTGCTGCGAGGACAGTCGCGGTGAAGCACCAGCAGGACCTCTAGACGAAGCAGCACCCCGAGGCTCCGCACGCTCCAACTCAGCACCCCCAGGCTCCGCACCCTCCGACTTAGCACCCCCAGGCTCAACACCCTCAGACTCAGCACCCCCAGACCCAGCACCCTCAGACCCCGCACCCCCCGGCTCCGCACCCCCAGACGCAGCACCCCCAGACGCAGCACCTGGAGCAGCACCTGAGACTACAGCTACCTGAACAGGCGCAGTACCAGAGAGAGGGTCTACCTGAGACACTCCCGAGGGAGCAGGAACCTGGGGCGGGAGGGGGTCTACCGGAGGCGGACCGGGAGCAAGGAAGAGCGGCGGGGGCGGGGGAGGGGTAGAGCGGTAGGGGAAGAGACGGTAGAAGGGAACCGAATCGTCAAGCGTGACGTCCTGAGACGGGAGGACACGGCGTGAGGTGGGGTGGTAAAAATGCCAGCCAGGCGCGTCAGGGACAAAGCCAAGAAAAACGCAGGGAATGGCGCAGGCGGAGAGCTTGTCCGCGGACGTATCGCGAACAAAGGCACGAGAACCCCAGACCCGGAACACCGACGCATTGCCAACCTTCCCCGTCCAACGCAGTGTGGGCGAGGTCTCCGGAAAGGAGACACGAGGCCAGAGGTTGAGCTAGTGCGCAGCGTACCGGACCACAAACGACCACAGAAAATGGGGAGCAGCCGCATGGATCATAGAGGTACGAGCGACCTCCATGACTAAGCCAATGCGGCGCTCAGCAATCCCATTTTGCTGAGGGGAGTCCGGAAGCGTGAACGACTGGGTGACGCCCTCCCTACGACAAAAGTCCCGCAAGAGGTCGGAGGAGAACTCACCACCTCTGTCAGAGTGCAGACGCAGGACAGGAAGGTCCTGGCCGAACCGCTCGCTCAGCTGGAGACGGACAGTGCGGATCCAAGGGATCAAGACATCAACGGCCTGACCCTTGCTGCGCAAGGGGAAGACAGTGGTGTACCGCGTGTAGTCGTCAATAACCAGCAGAAAATAGCGCTCGCAGCTCTGACCACTGACGCGGGCTGGGCCCCACACGTCCATGTGGAGAGTCTGCAGGGGAGCAGTCGTCGGGGGAAACGAGGAGGAGTGAGGAGCGGCGCGCTGCCGCCCCTCGACACAAGGGAGGCAAGGCGGGGCAGGCGAGGGCGGCAGGGGAGGCAGAGACATGGGAAGACCAGAGACAAGAAGACGAGAGTGCATGCCACGAAGACGTGGCAGGGAGGGGTGACCCAGGCGGTGGTGCCACAGAAGAGTCTGGTGCGAGAGGAGGCGACACGAGCAAGAGGCGGCTACCTGACCTGACGCGGACACCTCAGCAGACGCAGCGACCTGAGGAGGCTCGGTAGCCAGCGTGTACAGACTCGACCCTGGCCGACGAGTGAACGTAGCCAGGTGACGCCCCGTCCGTGTGCACGTGCAGATCGACACACGCTGACCCCCAGGAGTGGTGGTAGTGACCATCGCATCCTGAAGGGCAGCGGTACTCACCAAGTTTGCAGAGAACGAGGGGAGGTGAAAACCTGACATTGAGCTGGACGGAACCGCCGGACATGGGAGGACAGTGGAGGAACAGGCAACGACCGGGCCCCCAGAGGGGTCAGCCAGTCTGACCGGAACAGGTGCAGGAAGAGGAGCGAGAGTGGTGCTGTCACGAAAGAAACAGCGCGAGGCGCCGGAGTCCAATGTGAAGGTGTGCAAGACCTCAGCAGGCGCAGTACCAGGGGGAGTACCAGACTCACTAGCACCTAGAGCAGCAGCGGCTATACCTGGGTCAAGCGACACACACCGGTAACAGTCACCCTCAGCACTAAAAGACAAAGCATACATGGCAGAGATAATAACATCAAAGTCTAGGTCAAAGATAGCAACTAATGACAGAAGCAACTGCGCCCAGCGGGGTCGCTCGACGTCATCACCAAACTCAGTACGCCAGGCGTCGTCAAGGCGGGCAAAGCAGCGGCGCTCAGTGTGAAACCTCCCGCATGTCCGGCCCGCACGGGCACCCGTACGAATGACATACGGGCAGGTCTCACTACCCTCACCCGCCCCACGCTGAACCAACCACTCACGGAGCTGCTGGGGCGTCTGGGTCTCGCTCCGACGCTGCTGCTGCTGGCCCCGACCACCGCCAGGGCCTCCACGCTGAGGTCCAGACCGACCACCACTGGTCCCACCGCCTCCACTGCCGCCACTCCCTCCGTTGCCTCCACCTCCGCCACCAGAGCCTCCACCGCCGCCACCACCTCCACCGCCTCCTCCTCCTCTACCGCTGCCCCCACCACCACTCCCACTGCCACCTCCACCACCACCGCTGCCTCCTCCACTACCCCGGCCACCCTTGCCCTTGCTGTTGCGGCGCTTCGCACTGGTCGAAGCAGCACCGACGTCCTCAGGAGAGACGTCTGCAGCAGCAGCAGAGGCGAAGGAGGAGGAAAGGGGGGAGGGGGAGCACCCCTCAAAGAAGGGTGAGCGCGGGGTGCCACGAGCAGCACCTACAGCAACTGCACTAGTCTCAGCTGCGAGGAGATGCTGCTCGAGGAGGTCAACAGTGAGGGAAGTGGGGTCGAGGGTGAGGAAGTGGTCCCTGACAGAGCGAAGGGAGTCAGGGAGGCGAGTGACTATGAAGTAGAGGGTGATGAACATGGGGGGCTGGTTCGTGGGAAGGAACTCAGCAGGGACGACAGCGCGGTAGCGAGCGTCGCTAGTGCGCAGGTGGGTAACCAGGTCCGCTACTGTGGCAAAAGCCGACAGCTCAGGGAACAGGTAGGGCAGTAGCAGCCTGCCAATAGCAGCAGTGGCAGGGGAGGAGTAGCGAGCAACGACTGCGTCGTACAAGGCCTGTGCTGTCCTGTGCTCGCCAAAGTGAGCACATTCGGTCGCGGGCAGGTGGTTGCGAATGGCCAAGCGGGCAGTAGCGTCACGAGACAGCCACTGGGAACGAGTCGAAACGTCAGCTGTGGCGGGAGGGGCTGGAGCGGCACCGGACACGTGGTCAAACAGTGAGACACTGTCCTTACTATCGCTCAGTAGGTACAGTTGCAGATCGTCGTGCCACATGTCAAATGCTACAGGTCTGCCCTCCGGGTCGAACGGGAGAACTCGAAGCGACGCCATAGTGGCACAGGACTCAGGAGCAGCAGCAGCAGTAGCTAAGGGGCGGAGCCGAGGGGCCTAGGGGCCAAGGGGCCAAACTAGAGGGCCGAGGGGCTTAGGAGGCCGAGAGGCCTAGGGGGCCAAGGGGCCAAACGAGAGGGCCGAGGGGCCAAACACGAGGGCCTGGCGCCGGGCAGGTACGGGGCCGAGGGGCCAGGGGGGCGAGGAGACCGAACCTAGGGGCCGAGGAGGCCGAGCCTAGGGGCCGAGGCTAGGGGCCGAGAGGCCTAGGGGCAGGGCCGGGGGGGCAAACAAGGAAGGGGCCGAGGGGCCAAACAAGGTACGGGGCCGAGGGGCTGATGGGCCGAGGGGCCTAGGGGGGGGGGGGAGAGGCCTAGGGGGGGGAGCGAGAGGCCTAGGGGGCCGAGGGGCCAAACAAGGGGCGGAGCCGAGGGGCCAAACAAGGTACGGGGCCGGGCGCTGGGCAGGTACTGGGCCGGGCGCGGGCTGGGTACAGGGCCGAGGGGCCTATGGGCCGAGGGGCCTAGGTGGGGGCCGAGAGGCCTAGGG